CTCCTTTTTTGAGGGGGGGGGGGAGGGGCAGAGAGAGAGAGAGGCCAGAAAATATCAGATCAAATAAAAAAAAAAATTGGAGAGGGCTACATTATTGCAGCTTAGTCTTTTGTATCAAATACTCAGCCTATTCATAGGGCGATAAAAGCTAATTTTTACACAGGTACTTGGTTTATAAATATGTATGTACCTTATTGACAGGTAAAAAAGTAAAGTACATTTTTACATATCAATAAGGTACAAACATATTTATAAACCAAGATCCAAGTACCTGTGAATTTTTACCCCCCCCCCCCCATCAATTTATTAGTAAAATGTTCATATTCGTTGCTTTTATCCTTGACGGAAATGAAATAAGAGCATCTGAAGTACAATATCCATAACACAGTATAACAGGTTTCACAATAAACGTCAATTAATGAAATTGCTATTTTTCAAGTTTAAAAATAAATAAATAAATAAATAAAACAAAAAAAGGGGGGTTGTTGGGGGGGGGGGGGGATTGGACAGGTAAATCTACTTCATGCGGGATTTTGAACAAAGTATTTATTCCTGCATGCTGAACAAAGTATTTTTTCCTGCTATAAGCCGGTAGGCTGTCAATAGAGAACTACAATATATTTTCTGTCGGTAGTGGTATAAATTCAATTCCCCGCGCTTGCGCGGGATTTCATCTAGTCTTTAATTATTTGAAGATATCATCAATTCATTCGATGTGTGCAACAATTCAATCAGAGATCTCTTCAAGAAACTAATTTAAATCTTCAATTCTGAATTGACCGTAACGGTAGCTCAGTCGGTAGGGCGCTCGCTGGGTGATCGGAAGGTCGTGTGTTCGAATCAAGGCCGCGACTGACCTAAGTCGATAAAAAATAAGTAGCAACTGTTCCTTCGTCAAGCGCTAGGCATTTTGAAGTGAAAGTTGCGGGGCCTTCGGATGAGACCTTAAAAACCGAGACCCCGTGTCACGACAGGCGTTGGCAAGAACCCTCACTGCTCATTGGAACTGAGTGCCGAGTAAAGGTCAAAATTTGAAGCCCTTCATGAGTGAAAAATTCTTGAACGGGACGTAAAACAACATACAATCAATCAATCAATCAATTAATTAATTCTGAATTGTTGCGCTTATTAATTTAATTGCTGATATTATTTTTCAATTTACTGAATTGATGCACAATAATTGAATTGTTACTATCTTCAAATAAATTCATGACATCAACAATTAAAATTAATGATAATTCAATGCTGAAGAGAGCAATTAATGATTCAATTAATGCCCACAAAATTAATTTTTTTTGCATTTTTCAATCGATTTATTGTGCTTATCAATTCGATATATGCAGACAACTATATTTTTTTGGGGGGGGGGGGGGGGGCTATTTAAATTTAATCATATAATTTCAGTTCAATATATCCATAATTAAATGTTGATTTCTTTCATCGAATTGTTGTTCCTTTCGAAAAATTGATGCAAGCATTAATTCCTGTAACAAAATCGTTTTAAAATGATTAAAGAATAATGCATCGATGATATAGTATTTTTACATTCTTTCATCCACTTTATGTGAATAAATTATACAGATATAAACAATAAAATGTCTATTTATTTATACAGGGATGAAAGGTTGCAACCATGGCAAAAAGAATTAATTCGCCCATGCGAATCATGTTTTTTTTCTGCAATGTTACAACCACGTGGTTTATGAATTAAAAAGGACTCTTTATATTAAAAGAAAAATATTTCCATAATTTACCATAGTTTTAATTGTAAACGTTTATATGATTTCGTGGATAAGAAATATCAAATCTATATCAAACTTCATTTAGTTTTTCTATGGACATTTCTGCCTTTAGAATTGTTGTAGCAGTTTATTTATAGCTAATATTGACATTCATTCATGTTGAAGCGAGTTTGTAATTCCTCCTTTCACTACGAATTAGCTACAACAATTTATATTTACAACATGTATATTTCTCAGACATTTTTGGATTTAGGTTAATTGGAGATATAAAAACGTATAGTGGAGAATTCCACAACAAACACAGAAAAAAACATACATAGTAACATAAAAAAGAGAAATTTTTATAGGAATAAGTCAACAAAGCAGTTTATTAATAGTTGAAACAACGGCTCCCTCTATTATCATTTTTTTTATATCGTCTTTAATGAGGATAATAGCGGAAGTAATTTTTGAAATACCATGTATGGAAATTCATACAAACTAAAGCTCTTCTTTCATCCTTATAATACTTCTTTGACATGGTTTTTGATAAATTTGAAAAGATAAAACTTGTATTTCCAAATATTTTAAATTGTGTATTTGTAAATGTTTTTCGCTTCTTTATCAACTTTTTTCAAATTTTCAAATGACGCTTTTCCTTAATCCCTCAGTTATATCTCGTTCGAGAGTGCCATGGCTCTTGAATTGACGATTAGTAATTGAAAAATAAATCAATTATTTGATACAAAAACGCTTTTTGACAATTATAAGCTGTGGCCCTAAGAGAGAAATCAAGATTTAAGAAGTCAAGAATCAGAGATGTTTACAACATACTGACACATGTAAATACGACAATTCATTGAACCTAAATAGGTCAGATAAATTTTTCGTGATGAATTATGCCCTAAGTAATTAAAAAAAAAAGATTCAACTATGAAAATTGTATTTATACAATTTAAGAAATACAATATGTTGAAATATTTTAAGGTATGTTCATAACATTTATAAATAGTTATTCATAGGCATTAATCACCAAAAAAAAACAAACAAACAAACAAAAAAAAACCAAAAAAAAAACAAAAAAAACAAAAAACAAAAAACAAAAACAAAACAACAACAACAACAACAACAACAACAACAAAAAAAACACCTGGGCAATCTGTAATTTAAGATATTTTCCCCGTCAAAGAATATTTCAGAGAATATATTTTCTTGTCTTTTTATCTGGTAGGAAAAACAATACACTATGCTTTTAGACTTTTGGACACTGAAATATATATCGGATATCAGAATATGTGAAAAATATTTATCAGTAACAATAATTGTATAAAAACCATTCTGTAGAGGGTTCAATACGTGTAAACCGAAGAATTCACTAGACGTTAACTTATCATTTCTTTTGTCTATGTCTCCTCTAAATGCTCCCCAGAATGTCATGACGCACCGGAACATTCTTTACTGACACTACAGTTGCATATGATTTTATTTCATGTCTACGGTGATAACCTGTCACCGCCTAGGGATGATTTGAAACATCTTATGTACAATAATTGTTTTAAAGCTTCGTCTTGTTGTGTTCAAGATTCCAGGGTGGGTCGTATGTGAAGAAAAAAAGAGTTTTATCTAAAAAAAATATATAATATTTTGCGATAAATATACAAATTTTAGAAATGCATAATGGTGATTTGATATATCTGTAAACACTACCTTACAAACAAATTTAAATACTTGTAGTATTGAAGCACCCAAGCATAATTTATCAATGGTGTATGCGTTAAAAATATCAACTGTGACAGATTTAGTTCCTGAAACACATGCTTTTTTAACTCTTGATTTTGAGGAATCAATAAAATAATTTCTCTTCATTGGAGGTCTTTGATTCTTCTACATAACACGTGCTTAAGAATGAAAAATAATGTTTTTTCAAGAAAGATACGTTCACACCACTATTCTTTAATTGTTTTTACTTTGCCTTGTGGAGCTTGTGTGGATCTATAGCTAGCTAGAGAGGTGAGGTCATTGTCTGAAACTTTCATTCTTTAACAAATGCCATGAAGACATCAAATCCAAATCTGAGAGACTCAGACAATTTTTATGCATATTTTGAGTACATATAGATAGAGATAGAATCTCATTACCAGTTTAATAAGTACTCAATAAAGGACCCGCCGTTTTCTTTATTTTGTTATTTTGTTACAACCATTGCCGTTATTTTTTTATATACTGTCCATGCATAAATATACAAAGGTTCAAGGATTTGGAAGGTATTTTAAAATTCTGGGAGGAGTCTTGAGAAAGAAAGAAATAATATGTCATTCGTAATTTTAACCAAGTTAGCTAGACTTTCTGGCACCTCCTATGCCCCGATTACCAACATATTATGGTCCTGTATTATTTCTTCCGCTGATTGACATAGACCTGCAAAGCTCTACATTTTCAATATGAATTATATCAAATAATTTTTATTTGATAGTATTTAAGAAAACTAACACAACAATTGATTCGTACTTTGTCGTAAATATGCCATGCATTTTTAAAGTAACCCCCACTATCCGGTTAACAAGATTTTTCATCCATTAAAACATAAATTGTTTTATCAGCTGGGCGTGATAAACCTTCATTTGGATGAATCTAAAGCAGATGAGAAATTAACCCTAAAGTTTCAATTAGTCCAGTCTAACGATTTTCAATTAAATGCACACGTACACGGTTCCTTTCGCAACATAGGATTATGATCTTAAATTTGCAGTATGCATTCAAAATGCTTTGATTTTATAAAATCACAAATATTCGGTTTTGGTGAACAACAGAAGAAATATTTATACTTAATATATCACTGCTATATTAGCGTCTTGAAATGACCAGCACTCGGTCACTAAATCTTGGTCAGTTGACAACAAGGGGTCATCGTGTAGTAGAGTAACGTGTGTTATAGAGTAATTTATTCTTAAAACGGACGCCTTGTTGATACAGAAGATGAACATAGCTGTCATTTTCCAAATAGGTGGAATAGTTTGCAAATGTTTATGGAAACTTTAGAAGTCTTGTTCGGATAGACTGTTGTACAAGTCATTAATTTTATTGATAATTATTTATTCACTTACTGAATGTAAAAGAGATATTGCATTTCGAAATCGCTATTTTGAAAAGCTATTTTGTTTATTGTAATCTAGTTATAAAATATTTTCTTTAAATGAAATTGCAACAATTTTAATGCCTGGTATATTAGTTATTTATAGAACTGTGAAAAGCTAAAATATCACTCAATAACAAAAAATATTTGGTTTATACATATTTATTGGAATCATTTATCAAAGCAGAAGAAAAATTGTGAAAAAATATATATATTTAGATATATGAAAACATGGAGACCTTGAGCACGTGAAGAATGTCTAACAAACAAAACCACAACCTCCTTAGCGAGATGGACGTAATAAATACAGGTGAATCTGGGTGACATGAAAGGGCACAAGTAACGTCCGATGGTAAGAAATAAATTAATGTACCTGCGAAAACAATGATCATATGGCAAGCAAAATACATTTTTCATCGTCCAATTAAGACGATATGTCAAATATAATATATAACAACATAACAAGATGTTACTTGACTCTACAAGAACAAAAATAACAAAGAGCTGGAATAAATGTCTAAACTGAAAACAGTTGAGTCTATTTGCTCACGAACAATTGATGTGGAAAAAATACAGCAAAAAATAATAATAAAACAACAAAGTATATGTTTCTTTACCTATAAAATAAATTGTGACAGGAATAATTAAAGTTAAATAAGTAATACACTGATAACAAATATAAGGATTGATATGTTGTTACAGTCACCATACGGCGTGCATGTATAACTGGCGGTAGTTCCAAAATGGACATCATTTACCGCCAATGACGACGCCTCTTGCACGCCTCTCACAATTTCCCGACATCATCTGACTAAAGATCTGTCCGCATTGCTGATTGAAACAACCATCGAGATTGTAATGCAAAACAAAGAGAAGACCTTACGGACGCAGTGTGAACACGATGACGAGAGATACGTTACGAGGACTTAAAATTGACGTAACGGGGACATCACCAACAAAATGAACACAATCAAAACCAAAGGGGATGGTTAGGTGGTGCGTTGATTCTTAAAAATCATTGTCATGCCTCCGAAGCGCTATTTTTAGTTCTACAAATTAAAAAGAAAGTGTAAAATTAAGACCCAAGTCAAGCTTTGACGGACTCTTAAAAATAAGTCTCTATAATATAAGCATTACCTTCTTTTGTGAGTACTCCATCGTGATTCGTATCGCCCCACCCCATGTACCTCAGGCTGATCTGAGAGGCTCTGTAGTCGTCATAACTAAACTTTCTTGAATAGTACTCAGTAATATCACTTGGTGTAATTGTTTCCCGACCTCTTGCAGTACTGTCAAATATATCGTCTGCTAGGAGGTCGATCCAGATTTCGGGATCCACATCTCTCTGAAAAAGGAAGAACAAACGTAATGCAGTATTTCTTTCTAAAGTGATATTAAATTGAAGTTTAAGATCTTCATAACCTGTAAACGGGGAATTTTATGCACGATTTAATCTTAGAAATCCGATAATTTCTAAGTTTTGAAATTATTATTTTATGCAAATACAAAAATGGAATATTGTAGCGTATTAATCAATTGCTTATGATTATGTTTGTATTTCCAAACACAATTTAAAAAAAAAACATTCAAACTGAGCAAGCATCTTTAAGTTAAATACAACTTTATAAAAAGAATTATTTGGAATAAATTTATTCACAAAAATACACAGATAAAAATATTAAATGTAAATTTTTTTTTTACCTTCGTCTGTGCAACATTTCGTTTAATCAGTTTGTGCAATGGTACTGAAAAAGCACAGCATATCCAGTACAAGAGAACAAATGTTCTTAATGTCCCCTTCATTGTCGTCTTATCAGTATGAAGTTTCACAAGGATAAAAAGAACTTCAGCTGCAGGAGAAAAAGAAAAAGAGTTGGAATGCGATACTCCTATCGGTAGATTTCCATAGGAATAAGTTTACAAATGTTCAGAAATGTTTTCAGAGCTTAAGTTAAAGCGCTCGATTGGAATGCAACATTTTATATATCTGTAATTTCAATTGATTGATTGGATACCGAATGACAGGAAATTAAGGACGGCCTACGATAATATATGCATGGAGGCAGGCCGGGCTGCTGTGCCTGATATTTGATTCACAATAATGATTTCATACCCAAATGAACCTCTTCCCACGCAATGGCGTGTCGAATATTTTTATTTTCTGAATGTTCTATGAATGAAAATGTAAGGCAAGAAATCATTCAATGACTTTTCTTGACAATAGCGACCATTTATTCCTATACGTTCAAACCCCAAAACAAACTCCCATACAACAAACTCAACAAAAGGAAACTAATTCAATTATGTAACTGTTTGTTGAATGAACTTTGGAGGGAGTTTGACGCAATGGTCACTTATAGGTAAGATTATGCAATGTGTCTGACATTGTGCAATAGTATATTGCTTTGTCTTGGAAACACTGTAAAGGATGGGCCAACTGCACCTGAAACTATTAATAACGGTTTGTTTGTTGTTTTTATTTTTCTTAACCGGTGGAATGGTCAGACGAAATATTTGTTTGTGTGACCTCTAGCCAGACAACGTCCTTCTTATCACCTATAAATAATTCCATTATCATTTCGCCATCAACTGACGCACTTTCTTCCCAGTTATCGGTCTATCAGGTACATTATCTATCTCAGGTTGATGAATGAATTGTTTTGGTGCAGACAGTTGTTTGTATATGAATTTCTTGTCCAATCAGAAAGCCTAAAACCGACCAACTACTGCTAAGAATGTTGGAATGTGACCCTTTTTCTTCTGAGATTGAACCTATGATACATGATCACTTGCTACTGTTGCGTGGCATGCCAGACGATATTTACTTCGGAATGCTTTGGTAAATGTATTTTTACTAGATAGTAATATTTACAGAACCGATTTCAATACAAATTAGAAAGCAATTCTTTTTCAATATGCCTAAGCGATTCTTTTAGAAAAAAAAAGTTAAGACTAATTGTCAATAAAGAAGTAAAATGTATCATCTAAGAAAAAAATATCTCTACGAATTTTTTGAGTGGATTGGATGTTGTCTTCCGCTTATGAAAGGGTTAAGGTTCACAAAATAAATTTGATTTTACTGCAAACCAACAAACGAAACAATTTTGTAGCAAGGAACACATTTGATAAGCAAGTGTACAATTTTAATATTGTCTTTAGAAGGAACACATTTGATAAGCAAGTGTACAATTTTAATATTGTCTTTAGAAATATGAAATAAGCATTTTTTTTTTTTCAAATTTCAGCCAAATGACATGATTCCTCGCACAAATTATTATTCCTTTAGAATTATAATCATATTCTTTTTATTTTTCTTAGATTTGTTAATAAAACAATTCTTTGAACCAAGAAATTTGAATTAAGCGTGAATTAAAAAAGATTAGAGATATCTGTGTTAAACAATGAGATTAACAAATGTCGTTAGGTTTCTAAGATTGTCGTGGAACATGGGTAGCTTGTTTCAATAACTTATAAAGAAAAACTATTTGACTTGTAGTTTAACACGCAATTTTTTACTTCAAAGTGAATATGGATCAGCAAATGAATTTACTTTATGTGAACTACAGACTGATTATCAAAATGCACCACAATGGTGGGGCGCTCGTTTCATGATAGGATCTCTAGGTTCGATTCTCGTTCTCGGCGCCTCTTTCTCGCAAGGGACGTAAAACAAGAATCAATCAATCAAAATGTATTCCAAATAAAGAGAATTAATTAATTGAATATATCCGGTATATCAGCTTTTTCACATTAATACAACATTTAAGTCCACTTCAAGCCCTGCTCTGAATTCTAATATTCTAACAATGAAAAGTGAAAATAACGGACACTAATTCTAGTCTAATTAAACAATTTTAATTGATTGATTGATTGATTGATTGATTGATATTGCTTAATGCCGAGTCGGCAATATTTCAACCATATATCGGCAGTGAAAAGTTATGTTCAGATTGAAAGATTTTTTGGGTTTCTCTGGCGGCCCCAGTGAGCCTACTCTTTTTCGAAAACCAGAAAAACGATCTTTTACGTGCCAAGGAGTGAGTAAGCATCCTTTGTCGACCAATCACACCCGCCATGAGACCTTTGTCATGATCGTGTAATCAAAGTAATCCGTAGGCAATTCAGCATATATGAAATAATAACCTTACAATTTGTATTGAATACATCAGTCTGCATTCGACCTAACGACAATTTGTAAATGAAAACAAGGCTGGTGTATTTGTATGCAGAATATGCTTTTGTGTATCGAATCAACTAGAAGAGAGACATAAACACCATATGTACATGACAAAGAATATTGCTTCCGAATAATATTTGTTGAAAATAAAAAGTTGAAGTCATCAAGATAATCATTAAGATTGCTTTCAGTTTTTTTCCTCTAGTAAAACATCCAAATATAAAACAGATTTGTAAGACTCTGTGGTATCTTTTATTTCGAGTTCAGTGGGATACATGTATATCAAATCAAATTATGAATGAAAATGAGTATTTTAATTGATAATTGATATATCGAAATGTTAAATTGATAACAACAGCAAGGGACCTCTTCTTTTCATGTAGAAGGTTTGAATAAATTTTGCTTCAGAGGAGTACAAAAGCAGGTCTGCCAATTAGGCACAATTAGGACCCAAAGAAATTCCAACAGATTGTTTGAAGACCTGGTCTACGAAGACTAAAAGATACTGTAGGTAAGGAACATCTTTTTAATATCAACTTCACTTGGTTTTGGAATCAGAATGGTTTTTAACTAAGTGATTGTAGATGACCCATCATAAGATATGAAAATTTCCGTGCTCCAGTTTTAATGGAGAAGCAGTTGTCTATAATGTCAAAGAGTTTGTTTGTTTTTTTTAATTTATTGTGAAATATGATTATATAAATTGTAAATTCATACGTTTTAATGCTATTCATTTTGTCAAAATTTTGTGATTTCAGATTTTCTAAAAGTTTATTTGCTTGTAATATCTAAGGAATTTTTATAGATACATGTATACACATTTTACAAATAAAATAAAAGTCATAAGACTATATATTTTCGTCTTTCTTTTATTCCAGTGGAAATTATGCAAAGTTGATAACGTTATATTTCTTAACGAGAGTCAAGTTCTGTTCTAGTTCTTTGAATTTTTAATTCCAGGCAAATCCAGCACGTTTAGTACGTAAACTTCATTTATTGGGAATGTCATACAACAGCTATTCATTAAATATGACACCATATATGTTTCGTTTAAATTTTTGCACCAGATTAAATTTGACAATCACAAACTTTCCCCAAGGCAATATCGAACAAAACCAACCTTTTCCAAGCCAACCCTCAGGTCACCGAGGATACAATAACAGAAAGAGTCCCAAAGAGATCAAGTCGTATATTAAATGCTCTGTTTTCTTATAAATATTACGTGAAAGAAATTTTCCAATAACTCGAGTCATTGTATGGAAACTGTGGTATCCATCAAACCGTTTACTGTTAGATTAAACATTTCATACAAGGTAGAGATTCAGATAAAAATATCTGACAATCGGGAAAGTCTAGATCAATTCTGAATGAGAAATCATCCGCAGCTAAAAAGTTCTGATTGACAGAGACGGGAGATTGACTATAAATCAGATTGCTAAAAATATGAACATTTTATGAACATTTTATCTGGTAGTGTTTATTATTAACACTATGAACATTATTAAAAGAATGTTTAGAAGTCAGGAAAGAACAGGGTGATCCAAAATATCTGATACAATTTTGAAGGATTATTCAATTCTCAAATGGCATAATAAAATTTAATGGGATATTTCAAATTTTAATATATGTCTTGATCATATATATAGCATATACCAAATATTTTTCGAACTATAATCTTATCTTTAAAATAATGTTATTATTCACAGCTCTATATGACACCCCTTTTCAAGAAGCACGAGACACTATGCCGGTTAAATCTGCCACTTTAAAAGTGGCAAATCGGCACCCGCCAAACTCTTATTTTACATAAAAACCATATATATTATGTAAAAGGTTCATAATATAAGAACCATATTCTCAGGGAGTTGTACTTGGGGTATAATAATTAATCTTTAAAATTTTCCCATACGGGAATGTCTAAGAACTTCTTCAGCTCTCTTAGTAGGGCCATTTTCAAAAAAAAAAAAAACCCAACAAAAAAAAAAAACAAAAAAACAAAAAAAAAAAAACAACAAAAAAACAACAACAACAAAAAAAACAAAACAACCTTTTTTCCAGTATTTACTCATACATAAAGATGATAGGGTTATTAGTAACAAGGAAATTTCTGTACCCGATTTTAATTTTAATAGAGCAAGTCGCTCAAATTTTATCAAAAAGACAGATTTGTTCCTTAAGTCATTTACAAAAAAAAAAGATATTGTCTGAGGTACAAAAACATTACAAGAAAAGAAGTAGGAAGTCCGGAATAAGAGGTGGTTAACTTTTACACGATAATGCACCTGCACATACTAATAAAGTACACACAAGACTTTTTGCGTGGAAATGGAATACAGTAATTGAATCACCCACTTCATTCACTAGATTTATCACTATACGACTTTTTTTCAATTCTCCTAATTGAAAAAGTAAATGTTATCTAGACGCTGTTTTCATTCCCGTTTCACACTAGATTTAGTACTTCGCTGAGGAATATTCCTGTTTCGGATAGATAATCTTTCCAAAACTGGATAAAAAACTTTACATATTAGTTGAAGTTATAAGGAAGATTATTTTGAGGGAAAGTAAATTAAATAGGAAAGAATATGCATTTTGAATTTATTGAAAAAAACTCTAGCTTTTCAAAGAATAGCCTTCCTTTGACATTAAGTTTAAAAAAAAAATACCAACAGTTCTGTCTGAAAAAAACACCCCATGAAATTAATTAAGTGAAACAAAATATTCTTACTTTGATCACCAAAGTCCAAAAGAAATTACG